TGGAGGCAGTAAATCAAAGTGAGTTTAAGAGAAAGCTTGATAACTATACGAATGATAAGGGCTGGCTTTAAAATATTTATTTATATATTTAATAGTTTTAGTTTAGTTTAGAGGATGGGACAGCCGAGATGGACCAATAGGTCCCTTGTTGTACATACACATTATTTTGTGTTATAAGTTATGTTATAACCTCATTTTATCCATAATATTACACAAGTTAGGACACAGTCTATTATCTGGTCTAATTTCTAAAATAATACAGATAGTTTAATTTTTTATTGTAACCTGATCTCACCTCCACTTCAGTAGTAAAGTCATATTTTGTAAGAAACTGATCTCACATTCACTTCTGTACAGGAAGGTCGTATTATGTTATATATTTATCTCATTTCCACTTCTGTATTGCAAGCTACTTCTACTTTAAAACAAGTAAGGTCATATTATTCTAGAAACTGATCTCACACATCTGTACTAATCTAATCTCCACATTAGTACAGTAAAATCAAGTCATAAATTGATTTCATGTCCATTTCAATACACTACAATAAGGTCATATTATGTTACAAACTAATCTCACTTCCATTTCTGTAAAGGTATGGTCATATTATAAACTATAATATGATCTCCTCATCAGTACAGTAATATCATATTAGGTCAACTGTTATCACTTCCACTTCAGTACAGTTAAGTCATGTTATATAATATAATCTCATCTCCTCATCAGTGCATCAAGATCATATTGTGTAAACTATTCTCACTTCTAGTTCTCTACAGGTAAAATTATATTATGCTATAAACTAATCTTATTTCTACCTCAGTCTAATGCAGTGGAGATAAACACACATTACAACTGAGCTGACCTCTACTTTTAGTACATGGAGATAAACACACATTACAACAACTGAACTGACCTCTACTTTTAGTACATGAAGATAAACACACATTACAACAACTGAGCTGACCTCTACTTTTATTACATGAAGATAAACATACATTACAACAACTGAGCTGACCTCTACTTCTAGTACATGGAGATAAACACACACATTACAACAACTGAGCTGACCTCTACTTTTAGTACATGAAAATAAACACATATTACAACAACTGAACTGACCTCTACTTTTAGTACATGAAGATAAACACACATTACAACAACTGAACTGACCTCTACTTCTAGTACATATAGATAAACACACATTACAACAACTGAACTGACCTCTACTTCTAGCACATGGAGATAAACACACATTACAACAACTGAACTGACCTCTACTTCTAGTACATGGAGATAAACACACATTACAACAACTGAACTGACCTCTACTTCTAGCACATGGAGATAAACACACATTACAACAACTGAACTGACCTCTACTTCTAGTACAATGAGATAAACACACATTACAACAACTGAACTGACCTCTACTTCTAGTACACTTAAATTCACATTTTGATATACACTAATATAAAGTCTAAGTAATTTAGGTAAAGTCAGAATGCATCAACTAATCTGACATTTACTTCAGCACAGGTAAATTTATACCTTGTTATATGCTAATCTTGTGTCATAGGAGATAAAGTTACAGTACCTTATCAGCTAATATGGTTTCTATTTCAGTTCAGGTAAGCTCATACGTTTTTATACACTGATTTAATCATAATTTCAGTACAACTAGATAAAGTCACACCTTGTTATATACACTGATTCAATCTTAACTTCAGTACAACTAGATAAGGTCACCCATTATTATACACTGATTTAATCTTAACTTGAGTACAACTACGTAAAGTCAGACTTTGTTATGTACATTGACTTGATCTTAATTTCAGTACAGCTAGGTAAGTTTGCACTATATTATGCATTGATTTGATCTTAACTCCAGTACAGCTAGGTAAGGTCACACCTTGTTATACACTGATTTCATGTGTACATTGGTATAGGCAGTGCCAGGGAATATCATACAGTGGTCTCATGTTTAATTAATTACACTTTACTGATCTCATGTGTACATTGGTATAGGCAGTGCCATGGAATATCATACAGTGGTCTAATATATAATTAATTACACTTTATATTAATTTATATAAAACCACTAAGTTTCAGTGAAACTTGATAAGGCTAATGAAATACAATTATTTCAAACAGTGTGACAATGCTTTTCATGAAGATTACAGAAGCACAGATACTAGTGATGAGACATTCTGGTCTCCATCTCAAGAATTCACTCCTCCTGAGCTTTTTACAAACCATATGGTAAGTTTTAGCAAGCTTCTGTTAAGTGATCATATAAGCTTATTCCAGATGTAGTAGGGTAACATAAGTTTAAGTTCCTGTGTTAAATTATCACAATAAAGTTTAAAAACAGTTGCATTTCCTGTTTGAAAACACGAAATGTAAAAATGTGACAAGCGAAGTCTTTTGATAATCAGACCTTATTTTACACATGAAGAAATATCTCATTGCTGCAATTACCTGTATATTTGAGTTGTTTACACCATGAACAAACAATAAACAAGGTAACAGTTATAAAGCTCCAAACTTTACATTTTATGATCTTGAAATATTTATTGGCAAAGCTGAAAATTTAACAGCAAGTCATTTGTCTACAGTTATAAATCACCTTATTATTAGTATTAGAAAAACAAAGCTTAAGAATGTTAATGTCTTTTCAGACCTCTCTTATATCCACTGTACATTCCATCTCAGAAGATGATGTTGGATGAATGAGTTTGGTAGTCACTGTACTTAAAATACCTCTACCCACACCCTCTGTGACATATGGATACTACAGTGCTTTCAAAAGCATTGTGTAACGTGTTTTTGTGTGCTTTTTTTACCATGCAATGTTTTCTCATGACTTCAATAGAATCGAAGCTCATTGCATAAGTTGATTCCAAAAACCTTTTTTTTTTTAAAGTTCACAATACACTTATGTATGACAAAAATGAATTAACATGAAGATTAAAGTTTTCATGTTTAATGACACCTTCTTTTGGTGTCTGCTGTGTCTTACTTATCTTTTAATTCAGAAAGATATGGTTGTGTGTATTATACCTTACCCAGGTTCAGAAATACTTAGGTACATATGTATACCTCTTCCAAATGAATAATTCTTCTTAAAGTATTACTTTGTTAGGAATAGAATTGATTAAGCTTAAAGTTTATCTTTTAATTAAGATTTACAAAAATACTATAGTACATAAATATTTTATAATATTGGAATATCCAAAACTATTCTGTTCATATATCTTTCTGACCTAAAACTCCAACATGTTGTTGCATTATAAATTGTCTTGTAAGTAAAGCTAAACATTTTTCTTTGGGATATTGTATTACATAATTTTAAAACATAATTGAAATCCAGGACATTTAATGCTTTATATCTCTTGATAACCACAGCAATACAGTAACGGAAATATTATGTACTACTGAACTATGTTATCCTGCAGTTGAACAGTAATACTCTGAAGTTGTTTTGTTATTATGTTTGTATTGTTCTTGTATTTTGCTGTTATTACCCTGTTGTCGAATAGTATACTTTAAGAATATTATTTGGCTTATTTGAAATAACATTGACAGTACTAATGAAAAAATTCATAATTACAATGAAAATGTATTCATTAGTACTCAAGATAAGTATTTATAACAAGTTATATTTCTTTAGCTTTTACCCATAGTCTTGCCCCCCAGTGGCACAGCAGTACGTTTGCGGATTTACAACGCTAGAATCCGGGTTTCAATACCTGTGGTTGGCAGAGCACAGATAGCCTATTGTGTAGCTTTGTGCTTAATTACAAACAAACAAACCCATAGTCTTTTAAAAGAACTGAAAAAATATTGGAAAAATTGTAAATTTATTGTTATACACCCATAAGAAAATAAAAAAATAATTATTTTATATTATGGTATGCAAAATGTAATGTATAACACATGTAGTGTAAGTTTAATGCAGTCTTATATTATAAGACAATCTGGTTATTATTGTTTGATTAAACCATTACAGGAAATTAGTTATGTAATAAAAAAATGTGTATTAAGATTAAAGGGTAATGTGCTAATCATTAAAGGACATCAGTTATGATATAAAAGATAATGTTGTAATAGAAGATTAGTTACATGAGAAAAAAAAAACAGTCTAATTATTTGTTGTTGATTTTTAACCATTACAGGAGGTTAATTACATAGTAAAGATAACTTATTAATTGTTCTTGAACTAACTCATTATAACAAGTTAGTTATATAATAAAAATTGTATTAATTATTATTGAACTAAACTATTACAGGAGATGAAGTGCAAATTGTGATTGATCAAAATATATGTAATATACTCAGATAACTCATAGCTTTTAGTGATTTTTCTGTACAACGTTCCAGTTACATGAAACCATGTTCAATGTTATTTAGCTATGGCAACTTACTACTTAATTGTAGTGTTAGAAAATCAAGAATAGAATTACACATATTTTTAATGTTTACCCTGAAGTCATTTTAAAACCAGTTCTCTAAGATAATGCATCTTTAAATTCTGAGCTTATGTAATCAGGGTAAGTACAAAAATCAGATGAAAGTTGTCATCATAGGGTGAAACACAGAGGTGGGTTAAATATGTGAGTCAGTGTCTTGGTACAGAAAAGTTAAATATTGCAATACAAATATTGTTATAATGATACCAATGGTTATAATAGCTTTCATGAAGATATATTTCCAAAATCAACCCAAAAGTGTGTTTGCTATTGTTTTATCAATGTTTTTTCATATTGGTAAGATATTGTGCTTTAGTAGAATATAGTTTTTGAGCTTGTTTTGTGTCATTTACCTGGAAATAGAGAGAGAGATCTTACATCTATAGTAGATGAATATGTAATCACCTGGCTTCAAATTATTGTTTGTTGTTTCTTTCTTAATTTTTATATTTTGGACACATAATATGGTTATTTTAGCAGTGCAACTCCAAAAGTTCCAGCTTTATGATGTTAATAGTAATTTAGATTAGAGATAGAAAAACTATTAAGTTTTATGAGTTTAACAGTAACAGTTACATTTATAAAAATGTTTTCTGAAACTTTGACGAAACTTTCACCAGTATTCAAATACTCTTTAACACCACTATAAATGATCTATTCTCTACAAATCTGTATTGTGTGTAATTCAGATATTTCCATTTTTATGTTAGTGATATATATGTACTTTTTGTTTGGTGAAAAAAAGTATCTATCATTAATTTTGGATTGTGATGACATAGGTTTTTGAGATCTAATTCTTTGCAGTTGGGAAATTCTATTTGTCTTGCTAGCAGGAACAGTTCTTTCCATTATAATCTTAAAACTAAGCTATATTGATGTGGCATATCAATAATAAGTATTTTCTTGTGTGGTTATTTGTTTATTCTATGATGTATCTGTTTGTTTTTGTTTTTGAATAAACCATTTTCTGTTTTTGAAAAGTATCCAAAATCTTTGTACATGTTCCAAAACAAAAATTCTTACACATTTTTTTACTTACATATCCATGGTTCTTGGACAGATTTTAGCATAACCATAGCCAGCATGTACATGTATAAATCCAGTACTTATGTTATATAGCGGGAAGGAGTATTGTAGATGATGTATGATTAGCTGCAATGATTGTAGAAGAGGGAGGAAGAGACACAGTTTGTTTCTTAATGACAAAACTGCTGAAAAGAATAGAATAAGTGGTAAATCTATAGCATATAACACTAAACAAATATTGGAAATTCATCCAGTGCCAGTGACAGCCATGTACACTTAAGTACTTTTATTCCCTCTGCAAGGTACATATAAGTGGTATGGCATAGTTTGGTATGGAAGCAATTGAATGTCAAATGGATGTTATTAATGTGGCTATCACCCATGGTGGGCACAGTACAGATGGCCCATTGTGTAGCTTTGCACTTAACAACAGGCTGATTCCCAAATCATATGATAACACTATTACAGTATATCTACTTTAACCTAAAAAATAATGTGAACTAATATTCTTTGAACTGCAATTGAAAAATAAATGAAGTATTCACAATAATTTGATAATCTAAGCAAATAGCAGAAAGGCCTCGCTTGAAATCACTAAGTAAGCTAAATGTAAATTCAGATGCCACAAGAGTAAAATATCATCCTATTAGAAATATTACACAATAATTGACATTGGTTATCCATCATACGAAACATTAGAAAACGGTCTATGATACTTTCACTTTAAAATCACCACTATAACTGTTCATTGCCACAGTTCTATCCAGAGCTTTATATAATTGTCTCTTTTTTTTGTCAAAAGTCCACACAGGCTTGTTCAATTATTCTTCTTTACTCTGTTATTGCAAACAATCTGTGATAATTTCACTTTAGAAATCGCCATTATATGCTTTTTACAGCTAAACTCACAATCAGTCAGTCTAGATCTGTCCAACCCTCTAACTCTCTCTATATATATCTCTGGATGTGTATTTATAACCCAACAGAGGCCTAAAATGTTCCACACACTATGAGATATTAGGATGCAATAATACTCAATGAAACAAAGGGAAACACTTAGAAGGTTATAGTAACATGATGCAATAATACAACAATCACCAATTCACAACAATTGAACTACATAACTCATGCTTCATAAACAGTTATGTAAACAAACGTGTGATAACTAAATTTAACACTTGCACTACACTTCAATTGAAACATTCATGTACATCCACAGTATGTTTATTTATTTTTTATCTATTATATGCATTATTGTTAAATCAACCCACTTAGTCAGATTAACATAGTTAGTGGATTTGGCTCAAACAAAGATATATCTTTGATATTGATGGGGAGGAATATGTAATGCTCAGGATGGATAGTTGTCTACTTAGTAAGAATGGTAGCTTCAGAACAGTAGTATAGGCCATGAATTCTGGGTTTCATCCAGGTTCTTCTTGTTAGGAAGGCAAGTAGTGTTAGGTTTCCTTTAAATATTCTCCATATAAATTGTACCACTCCAACAGTATAAAGATGGGCACTGTAGACTGTCAGCCTCCAGAATGAGGAAGATATCTAATGGATAAAATGTTAAAAAGAAGAAAGAAACACATTACTATCATTTTTCTTTATGGTGGATACACAGAAAATGTGCTAAAGAAGAAAATAAAAATGGAATAATTAGGATGAAACTACTGACACACAGCTTTGTTTTCCTTTTTCAAGAGTTTTCATGAGAACATACAAAGGATACAAAAACATCATGAAGTCAGAACAGTATTCATAATCCACAATGAAATATGATTGTATGAAACTATTTAAACAACCAAGGGAAAGCAAAAATACCATTTACAACATTCCTTGAGAATGTAGAATCCAATATATTAGAAAACAAAAAAGACCAACAAAAGCTAGAATTCAGGAGCATAATAGACATATATATATATATATAAGACTCTGTGCAACATCAAACTGTGTGCAGTAGCTCATTATGTCAGAGAAGAAGACCGTGCAATGAAATGCATTACTGTTATAATAATTGGATATGATTCACACATGAGGGTTAAAAAAGAAACCTTCTATACCCAACTATATTGATAACGCATTAAGTAAATCTAGTACAGAAGTCATCAAACCTGGATACCCCTATTAAAATCAAAGGCCTGATTGAGGGTTTGAATGCCATCACTGAAGATGCCCGCTGCTTCAGCTGTGGGATGTTATAATTTGACAGTAAGTCACACTATTCTTTGGTAAAGAGTAGCCCTATAGTTGGAAGTGTGTGGTGTTGACTAGCTGTCTTTCTTCTACTTTAATACTTCAATATTAAGGATGGCTAATGCAAATAGACCTTGAGTAGTTTTTTTTTTAAAAAATCCTTAAACAATTTAAATAGTCAATTGATTGAAACCCCAATGGGTAAAAGTCTGGAAGAGTGAAAAGCACACTTTGATTTCTGAAAAACGAAACCCAAGGTCAACTTTCTTCTGTCACAGTAGATAGTCAGTCTTAGGACTCCCCTGAAGAGAGCAGCAGATTATCAGCCTAAAGATAGGATATAAACTAATTGGTACCTGATAATAAGGATAATTATAAAAAACATAGCAACTAGTTAGTAATTAGATGTAGGTAATCATATAGGCTAGTAATCATCACAATTGTTAAGATCATTGATATATGATTTTTACAACTCAAATGGTCAATGTCAAACTAAGGATCTGTGAATAAATAGTGGATTTGTTTCATAATAATTAATAATATTTTATAACAAAATAAAAAAACAACATTCAAATGTGCATGTAGAAACCAAGTTGTTCACCACTATTGTACATGAACATATATATAATTTTCAAACATGATCAAGAGATGCATGTGTGTGTGTCCTATAAAGCATCCTTGGAGCAGCAGGTGTATAACCAATGCTAAGATAAATCAAGAACTGAAGGATCAAATCCAATACTTAAAAGGCATTACCAGAAATGAGCCACCAAATGAACAGAGGCCTGGACCTTCTATAATTGAGAGGAGGACCAGCTGTGGAGACATCTGGAGCCCCTAATCTAGTTGGAGGAGGAAATGAGATAGCTATAAGCAGAGTTTGTTCCAGATCCATAAGATCATGGCAAAGGCCAAAGAAATCATAAGGCAGATCACTGCCCCCAGCTGAAGGTTGATGGCAGCTCTTCAAGATCTACTGTTGGGCCTAAAATGAGGTGAGACTTCTACCTTGGTTTTCTCTAAGTATAGATTGTAGTGTAATGTGAATATTGTTACTTTTTATGTATTGATCATTCCATTTTGTTTATGCATGTGTGATACATGCACTTAAATATTTTGTTAAAGGGTCATTTATGTGAATGTGTATGTCTTAATAATAAAATATTTTCAGTTTTGTTTCTTATTGATTTAATTTATAGGAACTGCTTGTTTAGTATTGCATTTCTATATCTAAAGAGTTTTATTTTGCATCTAAGGTAATGTTTTAAAAAGGGATTTAACTGACACATTATAATTAAAAGGTCTTTGACTTATATTTGCTGATTTTATTTATGACAAATAAAATCAAGTATCATTGTGAAATGTTTTCTTTTATTAATTTGCTTACACCATTTAAGGTTATTTCACATGTTTTGCTGTATTCTCATGTGGCTTTTCTTTTTTTGCAAATGTATGTTGATATACAAATACCTGTTTTATAATTATTGATTTTCCTGGGCGATTAGCTATTTTTCATTGTTAAAGAATTCAGTCTAGTTACTGGTGAAGGGTATCCTTTTTATGCTTATTGATTAATATATTAATATATGTTTGCTGGATTTATTTTGCATTTCGTTTTTGCAATTTTGTTGTAGGACTTATTTTGGTAAAGAGTTTTCTTTTCCTATCTAATATGTATGATTATTAAAATGTAATTGTTAAGAGGTTTTCATCATGCCTTTATTTATTTACTATTGAGACTAACCTATTAAAGGATCATATGTATGGCATTATATTTTAAGAGCATTATATTTTATTTTTAAGTTCTATAAAAGGGTTTATGATGTACAATGTTCATTCATCTATGTTAGAGGGTTGTATTGTCTGTGTTTGGTTTAAGAGTTTTTAAAGAGGCAAAAAAAGTTATTTTGCTCCTTGACCAACACGCATTTGAAAATCTTATTGGCTTTAAAGTTAAGCATAATGCTGACTTGAGGACAAGTTTGAAATAAATCATGCATTTGTTGTTTTGTGTATTAATACAGGAATTTTACAAAATTAGTTGTTCATGCAGTTTACATGTTGGTCAAGAAGGTTGTTAAGTTACCTTTGCTCTAACTATTTATTGTTTTGTGCCATTCATCTAGAGTACCACCTTCTGTGTTCCCGTGAGATTTATTCAGTGTGGTAAAATGTGTCAATAGAATAAGCTTGAAAAAAACTAACTCTCAAGTAAAAGCAACTATCAGATGTGGCAAGTAAAGTACATTTTCATTGTATTTGTTTGAAAGATTATTTATTGTGATTGCACATTTGTGTTCAGCCTCACTATATTTCTCATGAGCTGTTAGTCAAAGTATACAAAATTATTTCACAGTAAATATCTTAAAAATCTCCTGTTATTATGCACATCTATCTTGTCACTCTTAGGGGAAATAAGTGTTATCTGGAAACACTATAGCAGTCTGCCAGGCATTAAGAAAAAACTGATATATTCAGCATTATTAGTAGGAAACCTTTCCTGAAGGTGAGTCATGATCGATCTTTGAAAGGGTACTAAAGTTGATTATAACGAACCTCAATAAAGGAAGTAATGGAATTTGGTCTGTGCATCTGTCTTCCTGAAATCCTCGGCTTTGTGTATTTCACATCAGTTTGGTCGCTAATTCACACATCTATGGCAAAGGCATGAATGTAAACAATAGCAGTTCTTTAGGCCTGTCCTGTTAATTCAGAATTTATCTCTTGTAATAATTGAGTCAGTTCTTGACAACTAACGAGTTATACACAGAACTGATAAGGCCTGGCATCCATAATTATTTTAAACAGATTCTTTTCTTTTTGTTCATCAAATGGATCAGTAAACAACTCCCATTTTACATCAGCATTAACAAAATTTTAACATAGAATAGCCTTACACTTTACATTTACAGCTAGGAAAAAACATGTCCATAAAATTTCTACAGTGTCTTGTACAACATGACATATCACTACAACTACCAAATTCAGATGATGATTGGCACAATGTATAAAATATTTTCCATTTGGATAAACTTCAGTAATTTTTGTTTGAACTCCAGACACTTTTCAAACCATTGATCTAGCTCCAAAACACTTTCTTCTCCATTCCCCACATTCCAGTCTCCACTCTCCGAGTAAGATATTCAAAATAGCTTCAGTATTTGTTCTGGTCACCACAAAAAGTCCTAACAATGTTTTCACGTTCTTCCTCTTCAGTGCAGATGGTAAATTTATTTTGGATCTACAAAAACAGATAAGTGATATTTACATCACAATGTTGTAAATGATGGGGCAAAACTTTATCAAACTTGCTTTCCACAGTCACTTTGGTTTATTTTAAATTTTGTGCAAAGCTACACGAGGAGTATCTGCACTAGCTGTCCCTAATTTAGCAATGAAAGACCACCCACCACAAACTATTGGGCTACCTTTTTTACAAACGAATAGTGAGATTGGCAGTCGCATTATAATGCCCCCAAGGTTGAAAGAGCAAGCATGTTTGGTAGGATGGGGATTCAAACCCGCAACCCTCAGGTTCAGAGTTAAGTGCCCTAACCACCTGGCCATGCCGGGCCCTTCACAGCCAGAAAAATGACACGCTCAATATCTGGCTGGATCAACTTACCTTTCAGTGGCAGTGGCTTGACGTCTCTCTTTATGTAGCACTTTCCAAATGTCGAGATGGATCGAAAGCATAAGTTTCAACAGTCTGGCACATATAAACATATTTTTTAGATTAGTGTCAAGTTCATTATAGTTTTTATTTGCACACCATATTTCATGACTTATGAATAATTCATTTCATTTTTTAACATAGGAGTGCTTAAAATATATCAGTAAATTTAAATATGAATATTAATGTTTTATCTTTATTTTTGTCCCCTGATGGTACACTGATAAGTCTACAGATTTACAATTCTAAAATCCGGGGTTTGTTTCACTGCGGTGGGCACAGTAGATAGACTATTATGGCTTTGCTCTAAAAGAAACACAAACTCTTTATTTTTTGTTCCACATTTGTAAATAATAAAGGCTTAAACAAAGTTGAACAAAATATAAATGTTTATAATTTCAGTCTTTTATGAAGACTTGATTTATTTATTTATTGAGAAAGACATAAACGTTGATTAACAACTTAATTATCTAATTTTCAACGTATATTACAGTAATAGCTGTATTTTTAATTTAGAACTAAAATGTCTTTTATATTATTCAGGCGTTTAATTTCTAATTTCAGATATAATATGTTTTTCTAAGAATGTTATAATAATAAAAAGAAAATGACTTATCTTATTATCAGAAATTTAAAAACCACACCAAAATATGCAAAACAGATTATACATGTTCAGATAAT